GGGCGCACGCGATCCGAAGCAGCTTGACTGAATTTGGAATCCTGGTCCTAGAGTCCTCCATCCATGCTCCACGAACTCTTCTGAGGCAGCGGGCCACAGGACTCCTGTCATCAGACCCCTTGTCCCTTCCCTCCCCCTTCGGTCCCTTTCCCTCCCTCCCTCTCCCACACACCTGCCCAGGCCCCTTGCTTCCTGAGAGAAATGCCAAGGCCCAGGCCAACCTGGGGCAGCCCATAGACGAGCAGGGCATGGCCCAGCCACCAGGCTACCCGCAGAAGCCACCAGGCTGCCGCCACCGTGCCTAGCATTTCAAAGGCTGAGCCCCCTAGTTCCATCCACGACACCATCCTGGACAGGACAACCTGGAGGATCGGCAGGACAGCCTTGGTGAGGGGCAGGTTCAGTTCTACAGAATCCAGAGGATGAAAGACCACGGGATCACCCAGGTCCTAAGGTCTGAGGGGGGAGGGGTCAACTAGCACTGAAGGACTGCTGGAACGCCCACATGGAATAGTAGCGGGGCGGGGCCTGCCAGCCTCAGACCGGTGGTGGAGGGACCCTGGCCTCCTGGAGGGAGCCACAGCGCTACCTGGTGACCAGCACTGGTTGTACATGGTGGGCGAGGAAAAAGCCCAAGGACAGAGACGATTTTTGGGACTGTGGCCTGTGCCCCCTCTTCCCACTGTATCCCCTCCATCCCAAGGACACTCGATCTTCTCTTTCCAAAGACATTTTATTGAAACCTGGTGAGGGTAAGGAGGGTGAGGCAAGTCCGTGCTCCCAGTTTCCAGGCCCTTCCCATCCCCCAACCCAGTGGAGGGCCCCTGAACCAGGGGAGGACCACCGGGAGGGCCCGTACCAAGCCTCTTCAGAGAAGCCATCAAGGGACACTAGGCCTTGGGAACCACAGTGAGGGTGGGACACAGGAGAGGAGGGCTGCGCCTCCACTATGCCCGGGGGCTGGGGCCCGGCTCAGCTGGAGATTGGATGTCAGGCAGCAGGCGGCAGCTGGCTACAATGTCCAGGCGCTCGGCCAGGGCGCAGAGGTCGCTGCGGGCCAGGCGGATGCTGTGGGCCGCCGCCAAGCCCACGGCCTGCGCGGCGGCCAGACGGGCCGCCAGGCCGGCGACATCGAGGCCAGCTCGCCGGTACACACCACGCACCGCCGCGCTCACGTCGTGGCCCAGGCGAGCCTGGCTCTCAGCCAGCCGCTGTTGCAGCAGCGAGGCCCGGCCCGACGCAGGGAGCGCGGGCGCTGCGGGAGCCTCCTCTTCTGCCCACTCTGGTCCCCGAACCACCACGAGCGGGGGCAGATCCGCGTGGGCCACCAGGGTCGCCGGCTCCTCCTCAGAGTCGGTCTCAGGCGCTTCCCCGGCTACTCGCAGCCCAGTGGGGCGGCCCCGGCACGGCGGGGCAGAGCCCAGGTACAGCTCCTCTTCTTCTGACGACGATGCCGCCGAGTCCGTCTCGATCGCCTCCCCACGCACCACAGTCTCGGGTCGCCGACCTCGCAACCCTCCGACGGCCCGGGAAGCCATGGCTTCTCAGGCCCAGGAGCTGTTGGGGCAGAGGTAGCAGGGCGCTTTGTTCTGGGCACCAAGGCGGGGGCGATGGGGGGAGGAGGAGGCGGGAGCGATCCATCCGGAGAAAGAAGGGAAGCAGAGAGGGCAGGGACCCCACTAGCGCAGAGACCGGGGCTGCGCTGAATGGAGCGTGGGGTAGAGAATCTAGCGGGGAGAGGAGGAAGGCCCTGCACCAAGCCCAAGGGCATTATGTGAAGGCGGAGGTTGTGAGGCTGGAAAACGCACCCTGAAGGCTTGTGGGGATCCCTCCTGGGAGGGGTGCCAGGCCAGCCGGGTACCAAAAGGGCAAAGGAGTTGGAGAGAGGATGACAAGACACTGAGGAGCAGCAGGGCGCTATGGAAGGGGACCCAGGACTTCGAGGAGCTTTGGGAGTTGGGGTGGGGGTGGACGAATTATTCCAAAAAGTGACCATGAGAGAGACGGCATGGTGGGGAGCAGGGAAGGGACTGCATCATTCTGAGAGGAGGGGATTCCATAAGGGGGCCCCTAACGGAAGGAGATTGCTACGTAACAGGGACCGTAAGGAATGGTGGGGGAGGGGTGGAAAAGAGGGAAGGAGGATAAACTGGGGGGGGTGAGCAGTGGAAAAAGGGAGTGTCATGGGGGAGGGAGAGGGAGAGAATCCGAGTGGGGGTGCTTCGTTGGTCAGAAGAGAGGAGAATCAAAGAATGTTGATAATAAAAAAGGAGAGAATCAGGCAGAGGGGAACGCCATGAGGGAGGAGGAAAATCGAGGAGATGAGCGGTTGTGTGGAGGGAGAATCAGGGAAGGGGGGGTAACAGGAGGGCGAGAATCGGGGAAGGGGCGTCGCAAGGGAGCGGGCGAATCAGGCAGGGGGCGTCACATGTGGGGGACAATCGGGGAGGAGGTGTCACAAGAGGGGGAGACTCCAGGGCTGGGAATGGGGGAGTGGGAGTCATAGGGGCAAGGGCAGAATTACAGAGGGAAGTGGTTGGGGGAGCGGCCTTTCTCCCTCCCCTCCCCCAAGGAGCGCCAGAGACAGGGAAGGGAGGGCTCGCTAGAGGTGGGATCCCGGATAAGATCCCGTCCATCCCAGGGAGAGGAAGGTACCGGGTGGCTGGAGCTCCGAGCTTTCTCCACTTGCAGCTTTCAGGGATTTGGAGGGGAGGGAGAGTCACGTGGGGCTTGCTCCTTTCGAGCTCCGCCAATGAGCAAGGACCTAGCGGGCCTAGATCACGTGACATGATCAATGACGGCGAAGGGTTGGTGGAATATTAATTGGCCAATGGGGGTGCACCGAGGAGCTGTGTAGCCACGCCCACCCTGACCACAGGATGGTATGGACATGACGTCAAAAGCGTCTCGACCTATGAGCTTTAGGCTCGGAGGGAGGAAGAGGAGGCCGCAATTCGCATGGAAGTTGCCCTGTGCCAATAGAAGTGCTGGGTGGGCTCTGGATTAGAGCGAAAGAGAGGTGGGAATCACGTGGCCCGATCTTGAACCAATAGAAGTGCTGGATGCGGCTCGGGTGGGCGGGGCCTGTGGAACCCTAGGGTTCGGGGGTGGGGCGCGCAGTGACAGCTGAAGGCGGAAGCGCCGGCGATGGCGGACGAGACTCTGTTCCAGCTGCTTCACACGGAGGTGGTGGCGGCCGCGTATGGCGGGGGCCGGGGCTCGGGAGACGAGGTGAAGCCAGGAGGGCCTCGCCGTGTCCCCTCTGCCTTCTGTCCCCCTCTCTTACAGACTCTCCGTCTCCCCTCCCCCTGCCGTCCCCTCCCTCCTATCCCCTTCCTCCCCCCGTCTCCCCTCCCCCCTCGCTTTTCCCTTCCCCCTCCCCCTTCTCCCTCCATGTCCTCCGCCCTCCTCCCGTTCCTCCCCCCTTCACCTTTCCCAGCACACGCCTGTTCTCCGTCTTCTTCCATCCGTTCGGGCCCCCCGAACACCCGCTGTTAGGGATACGTGGAGCAACGCGCCCCGCCCTCGTGGACCTTGCATTTTATTGGAGACGGCTTGCACATAGAGGTGGTCGCTAGGGGGCGCCATAGTACGCAGAGCCCCAGGCCAGAGTCAGGGGACCAGAGTTGGAAAGTGGCCTGTGACACTCACTAGCTGGGTGGCCCTGGGCAAGTCACTTCACCCTGTTTGCCTCGGTTTCCTCCTCTGTCAAATGAGGTGGAGAAGGAAATGGCAAATGTATCTCTGCCGAGAAAACCCTAAATGGGGTCATGAAGAGTTGGACAGGACAGAACACCAAACGTGTATGTAGTGTGTGTGTGTGTGTGTGTGTGTCTGTGTCTGTGTCTGTGTCTGTGTGTGTATACAATTATCCCTTCCACATTGCCACTTTCCCCATCGTGGTTCCAATGTATCACGGGTCAGCATTAGAAATGAAATCAGAATTTGGGGGAGTTTTGTGGAAGCCACGGATGACACAGAAAAAGTTTAGAAACTCAGAAATACCCAAAATCTGTGTATAACACTGATGATAGCACCCTGTTTTTAATCTTTTAATACCATAATAATTCGGACTTCTTCTCTGGTACAAAGGGAGAGCCAAAACATTTTTCAGATTGTCCCAGATAGTGGGGCGCCGTGCTCCTGACCCCCACGATGTGGAAGGAATGACTCCTGTGTGTGTGTGTGTGTGTGTGTGTGTGCGCGCCCCGCTCAGGGACTTCGTTATTGTGGGGAAGCTCCTACCAGGCCAGGCAGTTGCTCTGCCATCTGCCACAGTCTCAGAGAGTCACTTGGAGCACTGAGAAGCCCAGAGCCTTGCCCAGGGTCACCCAGCCAGCTTGTGTCCCAGGTACGAACGGAGGTCTTGTTCTGAGGCTGGCTCTGTCTCCACTAAGCCAGGTTGTCTCTCATATAAAACATAGAGGAATTCAAAGTAATTTTGGGGGGGAGGGTGGAAGCACTCACTGGCATGGGGTGGGGGGAATCAGGAATATTCCTTCCCAGATAAATATAAACCGGGCATTTACAAAATAAAGGCACATTGATTTGGAAGAGAGGGGCATTGACCTCTGGGCAATATGAGGTGGCATTTGAGCTTAGGGCCTTAGGGGTTCCAAGAGGATGAAGTGGAAGGAGTGACTTCCAGGGTTTGAGGAGACGGCTTGTATGCATGCACAGAGGCACATCAGCGAGCAGGCATCAGCTGAGGCGCACAGCGCATGAAGGGAAGCCTGGAAGAAGGTGGCAGCCAGCCTGCCAAGGGCTTCCTGTGCCAAAGGGGAGTTTCTGCTCCATCCTCGGCCGCTGGGGCAGTCTTACTGAAGCTTTTTGAGCAGAATCGTGTCGTGGTCAGTTCTGTGCTTGGACTTCCCATTTGACGGCAGTGTGGAGGATGAGGGATAGAAAGAAGAGACTGGATGCAGAGACACCAATTACGAAAGTCCAGACAAGGGATGATGAGGAGCTGGACCACAGTAGTTGGAGCTGGGCACAGATACTGAGGTGGAATTCAAGGCTTAGCAGCTGCTTGGCCAGAGAAGGGAGTGAGGAGAGATTGGGAAGCCACGATTGACTCCCAGCTTGTGAATTTGGCAAAGATGGTGCCCTTGGCAGAAGGGAGGAAGTTAGGAGAAAGGGGCAGAAGACATGAGTTTGGTTTGGACGGTTTGGAGTTTGAGATGGCTGTGGGTGGCGATGTCTGGTGGGCAGCTGGGAAGGTAGAACTTGATGGAGATAGGAGGGCAAGGCCCGTGGAATGGGGAGGGAAGGAAGGAGGGCAGAGACCCTGCTGAGCAGAGAGAGGAGCCAGGATGGTGCCAGGCGGGTGGCCCACACCAGGGATGACACTGGAGTTGTGGGAGAGAGATCGCGGGCGACCTTGCAGCAAGTGAATTCATTTTCGTGAAGGAATTGGAAGCCAGACTGCAAGGAACTGAGAGGTGCTAGGACCTTCTCCATCAAGTGACCATGTTTCTGTTTTGTATATGCTTAACTATAGGCCCCTGTTGTCTCCCTTGGTTAGACTGGGCACACCCCCACCCCCACGCCCTCAGTGCCTGGCGCATAGTAGGCCCTTACTGAATGCTTGCAGATGAGGCTATAGAGCACCAGATGCAGGTAGGGTGCTGTTTGTAGGGTTTGGCTGTGGAGGGGAAGACAGCCATTGGATGGTGGGGGCTTCAGGGGCCAGTGGGGCCAAGGGAAAGTGTTTAAGGATGGGGGAGATGTAGTCTGTTTGTAGGCAGCAGGCAAGGAGCCAGGAGAGGTTGAGAAGGAGGAGTGGGGGGGATGGGGATGGGGGCCAGGGCAGGCATGGAAGGCCCGCCTAATCCTCTGTGTCTGGAGCGAAGGTTGGTAGATGAACAGAGGAGACCCAAAGAAGGGACAGAGCTTGGGCGGGGTGCCTGGGTGGCCTTGGGCTTTCCAGGGAAGTGGGAGGAGAAGGGGAGGCAGGGCCATGATAAGGGACCGGAAGGAGGAAGAAAGCTGTGGAACAGACACTCTGGGGGACGCGTTTGAGCAGGGCAGAACCTGAGGACTAGCGGGGGTGGCTCAGAAGGGTCTCCCCCCTCCTTCCATCCCTCCCAACATCCCCTGGCTGGAGGCTGTGGGGCCTTGTGGAAGGAGGGCAGACCCTGTCCCACCATCTGGGTTTGAATCCTGCTGGGCCACTGCTGGGCAGCCTTGTGCCCGCCCCTGCCCCCGGAAAAAGTGGAAGGTGAACCAGGTGAGCCTAAAGGCCCCTGAAGCCAGCTCTGGCTCCTCCTCTCTCCTCTTGTGTCAGCTCCTTCAGAGAAGGGAGGGGTTCATTCTGTGTGTGTGCCCAGGGTTTGGTGCAGGGCCGGCAGGCCCATGCACACACACACATGCCACGTATACACACACACACACACACACACACACACACACACACACTGTCACATGTGTGCACATAAGAGATGCTTCGAATGGATGGCTGTCTTCCCTCCACCTCTTCTGGTTCCACCCTGACCTTGCCATTCTTCCCTTTCTTCTGGGCTCCTGCTTGCCCCACACCTGTCTTCATGTCCTGTCCCTGAGTCCCTTCCCCCACTGCCCCTCCATTCCTTGCCTCTTCCCCCTTTGGGCATTCCCTGCTAAGGGGGAGCCAGACATAGGCAGGGATGAGCCAGACTGAGGAGGTGGGGGGCTGGGGGTCACCACGGGGCCTGGCTAGGGAAGACCCTCCCCCCACCCCCTAAACCCCATGCATTCCAGGCTTCTCTGGATCCTGCACAGCCTTGTCTCCGCACTGACCTCAGCCGTGTTTGTGGATTGGATTGGGTGCCTGGGGAGGGGTTCATGGGAGCAAGGAGCCTGACTCTCCCCTCTGACTCCCTGGTAGAACACTGGGGGCCCTGGAACAGAGCCTGAGGCAGGGGGAGGGGGAGTCACCTGTCCTGGGAGGTGAGAGTGTTGGCGGCTTCTCAGGTACCTCCCTGCCCTCTCTGGAACCTGTCTCGGGCCATCCAGCTCCAGGGTTGGGACGCAGCTTTGGGAGTGTCCTTTTCCATTCCTAATCCAAAATCACTCTTCTGTAATTTCTCCCTATTTTGTGGGGGGAGGAAGGGGAGGTGCCCAGAGTTGATGGCCCTGGCTGAGCCCCCTTCTCCCCACCCCTCCTCTCCTAGGGACAGAGGAATGGCTTGACAGTTCTTGAGGGTATGGGTTTCCCTGTGGGCCAGGGCCTGGCTGAGAGGTGAGAGCCAGGACTCCATCCTCCAGGGGGCTTGTCCCATGTGCTCAGGCCCTTCTCCATGGGGAGGCTCCCCAGTTGATCATTGGGCCCCCCCAGGGTACCAGGAGCTATAATGGGTGATGGTGTTTGGTCTCCTTTCCCCTCCCTCCAGTTCCAGGCCTTCCTGGACCTTGGGTCATGTCCTGCATCTTCCCATTAGATCCCCTCTCCCTGGCTCCCCGGGGCTGGGCCTGGTTCCCGGCTTCTTCACCCTAGAGTCAGAAGCTTGTGTTTCTCTCAGGCTGCCCCGAGGGGCCCTGGTCCTCAGAGAGGAGCTGGACACCATCAAGTTCCTGTGCAGGGACTATTGTGCTGTAAGAAATGATGAGCAGGCAGACTTCAGAAAAACCTTGAAAGACTTGTGTGGTCTGATGCGGAATGAAGTGAGCAGAACCAGGAGAACATGATATACAGTGACAGCCACGTTGTGCCGTGACTAATAGACTCAGCCCTTGTCAGCAATGCAGGGATCTAAGACATCTCCAGAAGTCTCATGATGGAAAATGCTGTCCACATCCAGAGAAGGAACTATGGAGCCTGAATGCAGATCGAAACATACTATTTGCTTTTTTTTCTTTTGTTGCATTTTGTTTCCTCTTTCTGTTGGTTCCTCTTATTGGTTCTAATTCTTCCTTACAATATCACTAATGTGAAAATATGCTTAATAGGAATGTATATGTAAAGCCTATATTAGATTGTGCACTGTCTTGGGGAGGGGGGGTAGGGAGGGGGAGAAAAATTTAAAACTCAAAAGATTATGGAAGTGATTGTTGATACATCAAAATAAATTAATAAAAAAAAAAAAAGAAAAGACACTGGGCTTTGAGTCACAAGTCATGGCTTCACATGGAGACCTTGAGCAAGTCCCTTCCATTCTGAGGCAGTGCAATGGAGAGAGTCAGGAGGACCTGAGTTCAAATGCTGCCTCCATCACTTTGGACAAGGCAAGTAATTGCTACCTTAGTTTCCTCATCTGTAAAATGGAAATGAAAACAGCTTCTGCCTCCCAGGGTGGTTGGGAAGATGGATGAGATATTCATAAAGGGATTAGTGTAGTGCCTGGCACACAGTAGGGGCATAATAAAAACTTAGGTCTTCCCTTTCCTTCCTTCTTTCTAAGTTTCTCATTTGTAAAATCAGGATACTAATCCCTCCTCTGCCCCAGTCTCACAGGCTGGTTTGTTGAGTGCCAAAATGAGATCACGTATTCAGGGCTCCCCTGCCCTTCTCCCAGCACATGCCCATCCAGCGCTTCAGGACCAGAGGAGGGCCCCCTGAGTGCCCTAGGGAACAGAGTCAGGGCCCCAGGATCCAGCTGGGTGAGAACCTGGCATGTGCCAGAGCCCAGGATTTCATGGAAGCCATTGTTAATTTTCCACATGAGTGTCCACACCCTGGAAATCCGAAAATGCTCCAAATCAGGCATGATTTCCTGCTTTGCTGATTGCCTGGATTTAAGAAAGGGACAGAGAAAATGGGAATCATGCAGTTTAAACCTTACAGGAGAACTGAAGCCCAGGACGGATACAAGCAGATCCTTAAGGAGAATGATTCTCACCTGGAGGCAGGTGGCAGAGAGCTGTCAGCACCAGAGCAGGGCGTAAGGGGCCAAGGCTGGATGCAGTCATGACGGGACAGAAGAGGTTGGACCCTCGCCCCCATAGGGCAGGAGACAGGGCTTAACGGCTGCGAATCTGGTTGGGAAGTGGGGGTGAAGGGATCAGAGGAGGCCGTTCTTCTTTCTCCTCTGCCCCAACCCCAATTATGTGAGGAGGGAGAGTACCCCAACAACTGGGAGCCAGGAAAGGAGGGAAGAGAGGCATTCTAAAGGCAGGGGTGAGCAATGAGCACATTCCAGCCGTGAGGGCAAGTGGAATTCTCATTTCTTTTTTCAAGTGAAAACTTTATATTTTTTCCCAATTACATGTAATAACAATTTTAACTTTTTTCTTTTTTGAATTCTGAGTTCCAAATTCTTTCCCTCTCTCTTCTCCCTCTTCGTGGAGAAGGGAAACAATTTGATACAGATTATACATGTGCAGTCTTGCAAAACATTGGAATGCTAATTTCAGGGAAAAACTACTGGTCTGGTCTGGCTGGAATGTAGAGGGTACAAAGAGGAATCATGTGAGATAAGAATGGAAAGGTAGCTGGAGTCCAGCTAGAGGACTTTAAATGCCATGCTGTGCCAGTCAGAGCAGCTAGCTAATGTGTCTCTCTGTCTGTCTATTCATCGACATCTCTGTCTGTCTGTCTATCCATCGACATCTATCTGCCTTTCTATCCATCCACATCTATCTTTCTTGCTTTCTATCCATAGATATCTATGTCTTTCTTTCTGTCCATCCACATCTGTCTGTCTTTCTATCCATCCATACCTATCTGTCTGTTTGTGTGACTATCTATTCACCTCTACCTATTATCTATATATTCATCCATCCATCTATTCATCTATCTATCTGTCTGTCTATTTCTGTTTGTCTATGTGTCTAATACCTTAGGCAATAGGGAGCTAATGGTTCTTGAGGTGGGCAGTTACATGGTCTTGTGAAAGTATTTTGCGGAATGGAGACTAGAGGGATGGAGAATCAGAAATGTCATTAAGCTGGAGGTGACCTAGTCTTTTTCTTATTGCTTGGCCAAAAAGCCTAGGCTTCGATTTTAATTACTGTCCTGAATGGCATATATTTCCAGTGTTGTCTTGATGGAGTTGGAAGCTGATATCCCTCAGGGAGAGCTAATGTGAAACAGACTGATTTTTCCTGGAGATTTTCTGGGTTGGGGCAGGAGCCACCAAGATTGTAGACAGTCTTGGTAATTACTGATAAGCCTCCAAGATTAATTTGGGGCTCTGTCTAGGCAGAGCCCTACCTCTGAACTACAGGATACAGTTGCAAAATTCTAGCACATAGCAAGAAAGGGGTGGTTTGTGCACCTCTAGCAAGGAAACCTTTGATCATTAAGGGGCTAGCATAGCTTCAGCACAAACAAGCAGGGGAGAGTCAGGGTGGTGTAGTGTTGGCCCCAGCATTGGGAAGACCTGGATTCAGAGCTTGCCTCTGACCCTCTGGGCAAACCTCTCCTTGCCACAGGAGACTCTCCAAGTCTGGAAAGTGCCTAAAAGTTGTGAATCTGTATTGGGAGTGAGGCTTTCCTCACCACAAACTCCCTATAGGAAAGAAATCAGAGGTCTGGACCAACCAACACAGCCCAGAATGGGTCTTGCCAGACCAACCTTTTATCCTTTATTGAAAGGTTGCTAAATAGGCGGGTCTAGGGAATGCTGTAGATGGTGGTGGTGGGGATGCGGCATGGGTTGGGCTCTCAAGCTCTATGAGGATCAGCTAAGGAATAAGAGAGTCTGGGACTGGCAAGGAGGAGACCTAGGGATGTGGGAGCTGTCCTGTAGGGGAAGAATCAGGCTTCTCCCTGTTGGGCCCTAGAGGACAGAAGTGGGAGCTGCAGTTTCAAAGAGGCGGGTTTAGGCTTGATGTCCACCCAGGGAAAGTTCCTGCCATTTGAGTTATTCAAAAGGGGAATCATGGACTGCCTCCAGAGGGGACGAGCTCCCCGATGCCTCCCTTGTTGAGAATGTTGGAAAGAGGATTCTCCTTCACTCCCATGTGAGTGAGGCTGGCCCAAGTGACCACTGAAGTCCCTTCCAACTGGGCCAGACAGGGTGTGGTTCCTTAAAGTCTCAGATTGCATGAGTCTATGTCTAAAGTTCTCTGGGTCTAAGGTCCTCTAAGGTTCCAAACTTCTAAAATTCTTCTAAGTCAAGGGGTCTAGGGCTCCACTGTATGTGGGATGTGCTACAGGGAGTCTCTGGGAGTGAAGGAAATTGTGAGGAGGAGACGAACACTCTCTCCTCCCCACCTCCCCACGCCACTTTCCTGAACTTTTCCTCTAGGGATCAGATCATGCCCCTTCTGTTTTCCCAGGCTCAGACCTGAGCTGTTCTGCTTCAGACCCTGCAGGAAGAGGAAGAACAATGGAATGGGGCTGAGGACCAGCCCAGCAGCCTGGCTCAAGATATACACTGTGAAGGGTGTATATGTGTATATGTGTTTTGTGTGTGTGTGTGTGTGTGTGTGTGTGTAAGGTGTGAAGTGTGTGAGAGTTATGTGTATGAGTGTGAGATTTGTGTGTGTGTAAGATGTTTGAGAGACATGTGTAATTGTGTGTATATGTATGTGAGGTGTGTGAGGTGTGTGTATATGTGTGTGAGATGTGTGTGTGTAAGGTGTGTGAGAGATGTATATGTGAGATGTGTTGATATGTGTGTGTGAGCTGTGTGTGTATAAGGTGTGTGTGAGGTGTGAGAAGTGTGTGTGTATATGTTGTGAGAGGTGTGTACATGTGTATAAGTGTGTATGTATGTGTGAGTTGTGTGTGAATTGTGTGAGAAGTGTGTATATGTGTGTGAGGTGTGTGTAAAGCGTGTGAGAGGTGTGTGTATATGTGTGTGTGAGTTGTGTGAGAGGTGTGTGTATATGTGTGTGTGTATGTGTGTGAGATGTGTGTGTGTAAAGTGTGAGAGGTGTGTGTATATATGTGTATGAGATGTGTGTGTGTAAGATGTATGTGTAATGTGTGTGTGTGAAGTGTGTGAGAGACATATGTGTGAGATGTGTTTATATGTGTTTGACTTGTGTGTGTATAAGAAGTGTGTGTGTAAGGTGTGAGAGAAGTGTGTATATGTGTGTGAGAGGCATGTACATGGGTACATGTGTTTGTGTGTAGTGTGAGTTGTGTGTGTTTATATATGTGTATGAAAGGTATATGTGTAAGGTGTGTGAGAGGTGTGTGTATATGTGTGTGTGTGTGAAAGGTGTATGTATATGGGTGTGAGATGTGTTTGTGTGCAAGGTGTGTGTGTATGTGGGTGTGAGGTATATACATGGGTATATGTGTTTGTGTGTATGTGTGAGTTGTGTCTGTTTAAGGTGTGTGAGACGTGTGTGTATGTGTGTGAGAGGTGTGTGTGTATGTGTGTGAGGTGTGTGTGTATATGTGAAATGTGTGTGTAAGATGTGTGGTTGTGGGGAGGAGGAGAGGAGAGTATCAGCACCCACTCCCATTAGAGAAAGAAGAAGGGATTGGGATAGAGAGGGCTGGAGGAGGGAGAGGAGGCTCTTTCTACTTTTTTGAGTGCATAATTCCAGGATTAGCAAGGTAGATGATTCTAGGAGTCTATAAATCCAAAGATTCCTTGGGGCCAAGCTCTTTGATTCTAAGATGCTAAATGAGAGAAGTCCAAGATTTTGTTTTTCTAAGATTGAAGTATTCTATGAGACTGAAATTTGGGGATTCTATGATTCTAAAATGATATAATTCTAAGAGTCTAAATTACACACATATTTTCACCATAACATATAATACAATAAATATTATAAAACAAAACTTATTTTATAATAAACACAAAGCAGCTAAGATGATGCAGCAGTTAGAGTGCTGGGTAGGCTTGAAGTCAGGAAGATCTGAGTTCAAATCTGGCCTCGGGCATTTACTAGTAGCTGTGTGACCCTGCCT